GCAGCCGGGCCGGTGCCGGGTGCCCGCCCGCTGCGCGTGGCCGTAGCTGTCACTCTCCGCATTCGTTTCCGACCGTGAGGGGTTGCTGCCGGGTGGGCTTTGTTCCCTGCTCTTTTAAAACCGCCTTTACCTGCCCTCCTGGGGTTACTCGAGGATGTCCAGAATTGCGCTCTGAGTCAGGCCTGGCCCGTAGCTCTGCCTGTGCCTGCCCCGGGCCTTGCCGTAGACACCGCTCGCCTTCCTCGCGTGCCGGAGTGGATGCTGTGTGGCGTCAGGCCCTTGCCGGGGTTCCTCTGTGGTGTCCGTCTAACCTGACGTCCGTGGAAGAAGCCTCGCGTTTCGGCACACGGGAGCCACCACCACGAGGTCGGGTCTCCGGCGCCACTGTCCCAAGCTGCGGCGCCTGCTGGATGTGGTGGCGCTGGTTTGGGAGTGAGCGTGGAGCTGGGCTCTGGTGGGGCCTCCCTGCAGCCTGGGAGGCTTCCTTTCCATTCGGGCGGGCCCGAGCGCTCGGCGGCGGTCCTCTCTGGGGGAGGCTGGGGGGAAAGGGGTGGCCTTCCCTCGGGGAGCATGCTGGAATTAGTCCGGTGGTTAAGGGTTTCTGAAACACCGCGCTGCCCTTCAGAAGCAGCTAGTGTTGGCGCAGAGATGGTTTCCCGCCCTACGAGACCGTTCCTCCGTCTCACCCTGCGGCCAGGTGCGGCCGGCTGGCACGGGGGCTGGGCGGGGCCCGTCCGGCGTGGGCTGTGGGCGTCTCCTGCCGGCCAGGGGCTGCCACCGTGTGCCCGCCAGGGAGAGCCTGTCGCCGGTCCTGCCGGTTCCAGCCGGGCGAGCCTTTCCAGGGTCTCACTTCCGCCGCTGCTTGCGTCTGCCGGTCCTGGGCACGTAGCTCCAGTTCTGGGGCCGCTCCTTGGGTGGCGCCTGAAGAGCCCCAGAGCGTGCTTGGTCTCTCCGGCGAGCCCTGCGGCCCTGCCCGGCTGCCGTGCTCTGGGTGACCTCCCTGGCGCAGGGCCGGGGCGTCAGCGAGGCCCTCACGCGGCCTTCCCTTGCGGCGCCGGGAGCCTGTTGATTCTGACACTTAGTAAGAGAAGGTGCGGTAGCTGCACTGTCCACAGCGCGCCTTGGTTTCCTTGACGTTCCTCCAAGTCACGTCTACAACTACTGCACGAGCGTCCACCAGTCCAACCAGGCCCGCGGGGCCGGCGTCCCGCCTTCCAAGTCGAAAAAGGGGCAGACACCCGGGGGAGCCCAGTTTGTGGGCTTGGAGTTGTACAAACGACTTAAAGAATTTTTGAAGAATTACTTGACAAATCTTCTTAAGGTAAGAAGTTGGACGTCCGCGCGTTTATAGCAGCTGTTTGGGGGAGTGTGAAGTCGTGAGACCCTGGTTGGACAGTGCCAGGAGACCCCGTTACCTGTTCCCTTTCTGGGTACCAGGTGCAGACAGGTGTGGGGCCTCCTGTCCCTGTAGGAGGTCAAACGCCTATAAGCCACGGTCTGTTTTTCAGGTTGCTAAGTTAGAAGTTTCTGGTAACAGCTACATCACACTAGTCCTTCCCTCACTCTGCAAGGGAAGTGACCAAGTGAGCAAGCCTGCTGCCCCACACAGCGTTGTGACCACGGGAGCTGTGCCTGTGCGGAGCTGGGGGCTGCAGCGCCCTCGGCCTCACGGTGGTGGGGACCCCCCCAGGCCTCACAACACAGAGGGGGCCTCTGGCTCTGCCCTGGCAGAGTTGTGCCCTGGGTACGAATGTCAGAGGCTTTGGACCTACACAGACCAAGGCCACAGTGGCAGCCTCCAGAGTTGTCTTCACCTTGCCCCAACTAACAGGCAACACGACAACCTGTCACTGACAGGTGGGGTCACCGCCATGCTCCCCACCACGTGTCCACGGCCCGAGGCCCTGTGGGACGTGAGCTGTGGCTCTTTCTGCTTAATTGTTCCTCGGCACTAAGTCAGGAGCAGCCTCTGTGCTGTGTGCAGCCCGGTAGCTGAGCCGTCGGCGATGTCTTCCCACATTTAATACTCACGCACCTTTAGGCCAGAGTAAGGCAGTGCAGCGTTCTGCAGTTCACGTCTGACTTGGATTTCAGCGAGCTGCGGTCTGGCCGTGGCAGCCTGGGACCGGGCCCCATTGGGCTTGTTGGGCCCCTGGTCCCACAGCTGGTGGAGGTCGGGCCAGCCCCACCGGTGGACATCGAGGGCCGGCCGGGCGGGGCCCCCTCCCTCCTGGCCCCCCGCCGGCTCAGACTCTGCCTCTCAAGGCTTGGGTCTCTCCCACGTCGTTAGTAGTGAAGGAACACGTCGGGTTCGTTTCTATCAAATAGAAATTTGGTTCAGGTCACAGAATTCTCAGGAAAAACGAGGCCTTGCTAGAGAGGAGCCTCGCAGCGGTGGGCCGAGTTTGTCCGCCGGGGTGGGCGGTCGCGCGGGAGCTCAGCAGGCATCTGGTGAGGGAGCGAGGGCCTGCAGACAGGAACTAGGGCCGCCCTCGGGTGCTGGCCTGTTCCTGGGACACGTCACTGAATCTTCCACAGAAACACAAAACCGGTGACGAGTAAACGCCAGCCCTGCCAGGTGCAGGAGTCGCCCTCGTGCTGACACTTGCCGGCTCGCTGCGCGCGGGAGCGCCGGGCGGCACCAGGAGGAGGCCCGCGGCTCAGCGGCGGCGTGAGGGCCAGGGGCGTGAGGGCCAGGGGCGGGTCCCGGCCCACGTGGGCACTGGGCCTGACGCGCGGCCTCGTCCCCAGGACGGCGAGGACCTGATGGACGAGAGCGTGCTGCGCTTCTACACGCAGCAGTGGGAGGACTACCGCTTCTCCAGCAAGGTGCTCAACGGCATCTGCGCCTACCTCAACCGGCACTGGGTGCGCCGCGAGTGCGACGAGGGCCGCAAGGGCATCTACGAGGTCTACTCGGTGAGGCGGCGCCGCGCCCGGGGGAGGGGCTGCCCGGGGAGGTCGCGGGCTGGCGGCCCTGTGTCCCCTCGCGGTACCGAGGGGCCGGGTCTGCCGAGATTCTGGCACTCAGGTCGAGAGGGTCTTCAGGAAACAGGTTCTGAAAAGGCAAAACTGGTAGAGGCGCCTGCGTGGGCTCTTCAGCCCACGGGCCTGCCGCACGTGGTTTCCAAACCCGCCAGGGGCCTCCTCACCGTGGGGTCAGGGACCGTCGGAGAAACGTCGGGTTTCCCTCCTGTCCCGCCCTCGGTGTGAGCCGCAGTCCACGTGGCCCACGCGGCCGCCGGGTCCTGACCGTGGGACGGGCCGGCGTTTCACCGTCTCCCTTCCCTCTCGTCCAGCTGGCGTTGGTGACCTGGAGGGACTGTCTCTTCAGGCCGCTGAATAAGCAGGTATATGCCCGAGTGCGCGCACGGCCCAGCGCGGTCCGCGGGGTCCCGGGGGTGGGGCTCCGCGGCCCCTCCGAGGCCCGAGGGGGCCCAAGGGGCCGTGTGCGAGCTGGACCCTGCCGTCCGGCACCTGACCTGCCTCCCTGTGTCCTTTCTGAAGGTGACAAACGCAGTTTTAAAGTTGATTGAGAAGGAAAGAAATGGGGAGACCATCAACACGAGGCTCATCAGCGGCGTGGTGCAGTCCTACGGTAACCCCCGCCCCCGCCCACGCGCGTCGAGGCCGTCAGGAATGTTGGGGTGCTCACAGTGCACCGTAGCCCGCTCTGAGGAGCCACTGCGCTTCCTTTGGGTTCTGCGGTCGTCATAAAGATGACGGGATTGCTGTGCCATAAGGCATCCTGGGGGGTGGACATTGGGTTTGTCCATCTCGGGGTGGACCGCGGGTGATGGCGATGTGCTGGTGTCCTCAGAGGAGCTGAGCGGCCCAGGAGTCACCGTCAGTCTGAAACATCAGGATGGAGACCCGTTAAAGAAATACCGTGCTTTAAAAACTGTGGGTGGCCTTGTATTTCTGTGCAAGTTTTAAGTGAGGCTTTTTTATTATTATTTTTAAGGTTTTTTTTTTTTTTTAAGAAATGTAGGAGTTCTCGGGATGAACTCCGTGGCCAGTTGAAGCCGCCGGCTCGCGTGACGCTCTGGGCTTCTCCACCGTGGCGCGGCCTGCTTGACAGCATGTGGCGCCCGCGTGGCTTAGCACAGCTGGGCCTGACGTGGCGGCGGCGTGGTCACCGGCGTGTCTTTGCTTCTAGTGGAGTTGGGGCTGAACGAAGACGATGCCTTCGCCAAGGGCCCGACGTTAACAGTGTACAAAGAATCCTTCGAATCGCAGTTTTTGGCCGACACGGAGAGATTTTACACCCGAGAGAGCACCGAATTCTTGCAGCAGAACCCGGTCACCGAGTACATGAAGAAGGTGAGCGCGGCCCCGGGGCAGCTGCTGCGCAGGCCACTCCGGGCCGGGGGCTCCTGGCCGCCGAGAAAGCCGCCTCAGCTTTCGCTTCAGGAGGGTCCCGGCCGCCGGTTAGCACAGTGCCGGGGCGGCCCCGGAGGGAGGCCCTCGGGGACCCGTCTGGGCCACGGGCGTCTTCTCGCCCGGCGGCGCCGCTGACGCGCCGGCGGCCGTTCTGTGTTCTCCCCCTGGCAGCCTTAAGATACCGTGGGCTGCTGACCGCTTCCAGTCAGAAACCGCGGCTCCTCACTTGCTGTGCAAGTTTCTCCGAGTATGAAATGGGGATGTCACCCCAAAGGGTGAAATAGCCATTTACTGAAAGGGAAAGTGCTGATATGGAGGCGTGCGGATTGTTAGTACCAGCACCGTTAAGTCATTTCGAGAGGAAACGGGGACGCTGGTGCGGCGCGCCCGGGGCGCCCCCATTTAGACTCGGCGCCTGCAGAGCGCCCTGGCGGGTGCCTGGGGCCACAGGAGCGCTGACCTCTGCTGCCGTGGTCAGTGGGTGGCCCAGTGAGGGGTCCGCAGCGGTCACAGCCGCCGAGTATGTGGGTGTGGTCTGTCTGTGGGGTTTGGACCAGGGGTGCCCGTAACCAGATGGGGGTGCTCTCTGCCTGTCTACTGGGCCGGTAGCTGGCCTCCACTCGTGCTGCGGCCTTACGCCCGACTCCCCCCAGGCGGAGGCCCGTCTGCTGGAGGAGCAGCGCCGGGTCCAGGTCTACCTGCACGAGAGCACCCAGGACGAGCTGGCCAGGAAGTGCGAGCAGGTGCTCATCGAGAAGCACCTGGAGATTTTCCACACGGAGTTTCAGAATTTGCTGGATGCTGACAAAAATGAAGGTGAGCCACAGCTCAAACCGCAGGTCTGCGTGGCGGCCAGCGGCCCGGGAGTTGTCTGCGGCTCCGGGCGAGGTCGGCACCACCCGGCCGTTTCCGGGGAGGGGCTGTGTCTGCGAGGGGTGTCGCCCCCGTAGACCGTCGCGGGTGTGGCTGCGGGGAAAGGGCATCTTCGCTGTCACTTGGGCTGACGCTGGCACTTTCCACCAAATGCTGCTGCCCGACTCCTCCTGGAGTGTGGGCCCGGCACGCTCCGCCTAGGGGCCGCTGCTGGGGGTCTCCCGCACGCCGTCCCTGTCTCACTGGGCCGCGAGGGGACTCAGTCCCTGCTTGGCGTCTGGCGTGGTCCCTCTGGGTCCCGCGCACGCAGTAAGCGGAGATTGGGGGGCTCATTTTGACTGGATTCCCCGCTGAGGTGGGCAGCACAATTGCCCCTTAAACTTCCCATCCTTGGAATAAATGTTCAGGCGCTGCTGTGCGTGGGGCCCAGGTCGTGTCTCAGTTGAGCACTTCCGGAAGCCCCAGGTGGTGGGCTTGGTCTGAGGTTTTCCCGCAGCCAGCGCTCCCTCGCGCCAGGACGCTGGTCGTGGCCGCCTGTAGCTGAGCGGACGCCTGAGGGCCGGCGCTGCCGCGGGCTGGCCGGCTCTGCGGCCCTGCTCCCGGCAGAAGGTGCGTGGTGGGTAAGCACGGCCTCTCACCTTCTGCTTGCAGACCTGGGCCGCATGTACAACCTCGTGTCCAGGATCCAGGACGGCCTGGGGGAGCTGAAGAAGCTCCTGGAGACGCACATCCACAACCAGGGGCTCGCGGCCATCGAGAAGTGTGGGGAGGCCGCGCTGAACGTAAGTGCTGTGGGCGGGGCTTCAGCCGCTGCTGCCGGGGTCCGGCCTGCGGCCAGCGCGCCCTTGGCCCGCGCGGCCGTGTCCGGAATTGAGTGGATCCCCCCAAACGCCCCCTGAAGGATGCCCTGTCTCGGCCTCCTCTTTGCCTTTTGAGGTCTCACGATGACCTGCTGGGGTCAGAGAAGGTTCCGTGGCGGCAAAGGCTGTTTGTTGCCCAGACTCGCACGGAGCCCTCCGCAGGGCGACTGGGGTGAGGCGCGAGCCCTGCTGTGCCCCCCACCCCAGGGCCGGCACCCCGGCTAGGGTGTCTGACTGCAGCAGCGATTCCCCGCGGGAAGCCCTGGCGTTGGGGGGCAGGTGAGGGGAGCTCGGGGAGAGGCCCAGCGTGCGCCAGAGCGTTAAACTGTTTGACGGTCGTCACTTGTGACGTACAGCCTTTGACACGGTTTTTGTTTTGTTTTTTCATACAGCAAGTACATGTTTAATTTTGTAACAAAGAAATAACAAAAGAACCCCTGTAACTGCCACTTTTCCAGGGTGGCTGTACCATGATGTTGCCACCAGCAACACAGGCAGGCGTCCATTTCTCTGCACCTTCACCAGCATTGGCTATTCTCAGTATTTTTTATTTTACTCAATTTGACAGGTGTGTAAGCGATGTTTAACACGGTTTTTAAAGTCTTTACTTCCTTCATGTTTTTGTAAGGTCTCCTCTGCCTTCCATGTTGGGGGTCGCTGCCCCAGGGGCACGTCTGTGAATTACTGGAGGGGTGACTGGGCCCTTCGTGAGACGGAGGGAGCTGGCCCTGCGGGGCCCTGCGGGGCTGGGCTGCCCGGAGCGGAGGGGCGCGGCCTCCCGGGCTGTGCAGGGGTGCTGTGTGTGCCGCAGCCGGGCTCCCGTGGGGTGCTTCGCTTGGTGGCTGCAGGCTCTCTGAGGAGAAGCAGGTTTATTTAAAAGACTCGTTTGAAAATTATTCGTCAGTCACGCTGATGTTTCTCTTTCCAAACCAAACGTGCCTTTTAAAGGAACCGCGGTTCAGAAGGGGCCGGTGTGATGGTGTCTCTTTGGGGGACGTGCGGGGTCGCCGTGCGGCGGGGGCGGTCGTGGCCCCCCGTGGGCGCTTGTCTAGTGGACAGTTGTGTGCTGCTCCTGGGGCGGACAGCACTGGGCGGTGAGGACATTCTCCCCCGAAACTAAAAGAAGTCCGACGACCGTGGGCTCACGGGGGGGGGCAGCGACGGGAGCCCGGGGTCAGGGAGCAGATGGGGCCTGCGAGTCCGCGGGATCCTGCAAGGGTGGTCAGGTTCAAGGCCTGAGAGCTGGCGCCGCCGAGGTGAAGGCGGCCGCGGGAAGGGGGGTCTGTAGGGCCGGCTTTGTGCTGTGGCCATGGTTGCCGCTGACAGGGACATGGGCAGGTTTAACCATTTTTTGCCAACAAGACTCACAGAAATGGAGAGTGAGAAGCAGGGTCGGGGGTGGGGGGTGGGGATGTGTTTGGGGACCTGAGAGATGCCCACAGGCAGGCAGGGGGCACTGGCGTCACCCCCGAAATCGAGTGGGTTGGGGGAGGTCCCTCGGGACAGCCTGTGCAGGACACGCTCTCTGCTGAGGGACGCTCGTGGGCGAAGCCAGCGGCCCTTCGGGCTGCGTTCTCTGGTACGGCGTCGTAAATTCAGTCTGTTTTCCTGAAAGTGCACGTTTTGCTTCTTCCAGCCCCTTCTCCTGTCCTCTGCTGCGCTCGCACCCGAGTGGTGGCCTCTGCTCGTCACTCACCTGGGGACATCTTCTCTTACTTGGCCCCCTGTGCCTTTTCTGGAATCCTCTGTGTTAGTCCGTGGGGATTCCTTGCTGCACCCCTCACGCCCCAGCACACTCATCCCCAGTGGGTCCGTCCAGACCCTCCCCACCTGCCAGGCTCAGGCCCGCAGCCGCTTCTGGGGTAGAAAGAGCCAGACCTTTCCAGCCAGCGCTCTCCGGCCGGGGGGCAGTAAAGGTGGAGTCTGGGGCTGGGGCCGAGCGAGCGGGGCTGCGCGGTCCTGTCCGAGTCCGCTGCTGCTTCGGGCCGTCCCTGAGGTGACCGCACGCCTGTGGGCGCAGGGGCCGGTCTCCAGTGAGGGCCCTGCCAGACACCATCCAGAATTTGAATTTTTAACAAGTTAGTTAAGCAGAGTTGTCACTAGTAAACTTCTGTTTTCACTGATCCCTCTGAATTTTTGAAAACTCAGTTTTCCATACAAGCTTGAAATCGGCAGTCTCGCCCCAGAATGCATTCCCCTCCCTCAGTATAGACCAGACATCCTGAGCGTTCTGACGGGCGCAGCAAGAGACCTCTGTGAGGAACTGCCTCAACTTCCTTGGGGTCTTACGAAGACAGTTCATCTCCAGCTGAACCCCAAGTTGTTTTTCCCTCCCCTTTAAGGACCCCAAAATGTACGTGCAGACGGTGCTGGACGTCCACAAGAAGTACAACGCCCTGGTCATGTCCGCCTTCAACAACGACGCCGGCTTCGTGGCCGCGCTGGACAAGGTGGGTCGCTGGGGTGGCGCCCCGCCCGCGCACCTCAATCGCCCCTAACTGTGCTGTGTGCGACCCACAGGCCTGCGGTCGCTTCATCAACAACAACGCGGTCACCAAAATGGCTCAGTCCTCCAGTAAGTCCCCCGAGTTGCTGGCTCGATACTGTGACTCCCTGCTGAAGAAAAGGTACCAGTGACTCGTGTTCTTCTCAGTAACCCTTTAAAAGAAAGTGACACTTTGCGTGCACTAAATTGTACGGCTTTTATTTCATCACTTTTAGAGATGGTGTTGAAGTGGCACTGCACGGAAAAGTCGGGGCTTCGGCTCAGAGGCTCGCCTGTGTCGGCCACGCCAGCTCCCCACCTGCTTCTCCTCCCCTGGCGCCCCCTTGCTCGGTCGTAGGCCCCAGGGTCCGCTTTTGTTTTAACTGACTCCTTTTCTTTCTTTGTGGACCACGTGAGTGAAATTGTGTCTTCCGCGTGACACTCTCCAGCCCACTTCACGTGGTGGCCACGGCAGGCCCCACCCTCGGGCAGTGCGTGTCCTCTCCTGCGGGCACGGAGGCGGTTCCTAGCTCCGGCTGTGTGGAGAGGGCTGCCGTGAACACGAGGGCGTGTGGCTCTGAATCGGCGGTAAACGCCCAGCGCGGGAGGGCTGGCTCTAGGAGTGTCCGCTGCCTCCGGAAGGCCGCGCGCCCGTTCCTTGCCTGCGTAAAGTCAGTCTCGCGGGCGTGAGGCGACACCCGCTGCCCACGGGCCGGCCGTGGCGTCTCGGAGAAGGTCCGTCCAGAGCCCCTGTCCCGGTCCGCCCGCTGGGCTGGGCGTGGCGGCCTGTGGCTGGCTTTTGTGGGTGAGGTCTTCGGGGTGTGGTTTTGCCGGGAAGGGGACGCTGTCCCGTGAAAGGTGCTTGGCGGTTCCCCCCGACACTGGGAGGCGGCCGGAAGGGCCGGCGGCTCTGCCCAGAGTGGGGTCTTCTCTCTGAGTCTCGGAGGGGCTGGTCCACACGTGTCCAGTTGGTCATCATTTCCTTCCTGTCCCTTTTATTTCTGTAGTGGCTTTTGCGACTGCTCCTTCATGGTTTTGAGCCTTCCCTTCCCAGCGAGCCAACTCTCGGCTTCATCTGGGTTTTAAAACAGATGCCGAAGCCTGTGTGTCTCGGTACTTGCGTCTCTGTAGCGTACAGATCCGTCCTCATTTGGCCAGTGTTGCAGTTCCACGGCCTTTATGTTCCCGTCTTCCCTGGCATTTCTCAGGCCAGGCTGAGGAGTCCCCAGCTGAAGGCGGCAAGCACTCCCGGCAAGGCCATCGTGTTGGTTGATGTTCTCGGCTTGTGTGGTTTTGTTTTCCTCAAATTCTCTTTGACCGAAGCAGCTGCAATCGGTTCAGAAACGATCTAGGCCTGTGTGTCTTCCTTGTCCAGAGAGCACATCCACAAAGCTGTTGCGGTAGCTTCCAGGCCCACAGACTTCCCTGGGCTGACACTAGTCAGTTGTAGTTCACACAGCTCGGCCCCACTAGAGTAAGGAAGACCCCGGGTGCTTGTCGCTCCAGGAAAAAGACTGAAAATCAGCCTCACTTGGCACCCGCATTGTCAAAACTCAAGACAAAGTAGGTCTGGCAGCAACTTACGAACCTTCCGCAGCGGGTCGGGGCTGTCGGGGTGTCGCTCTCACGCGCTGACAGCGAGTCATGGGTCAGAAGCCACCTCCCCAAGGCCAGCGAGGACCGAGGATTTTCTTCCTGCCGCGGGCCGGTCTGACCGCGGCTGAGGCGCTCGAGTCTTCGGTTGTGTCCCAGCAGCGAGCGCAGGCTGTGCCGGAGCCTCGCCTGGCCTGGCTCAGCTGTCAGGCTGTCCGAGATGGTGCCGCCCTTTGAGCCCACGAGCTCGTTTGCGGGTACAGAATGCCCTTCGACGCGCTGTCTTTTCGTGAGTGATTGCATCAAGCTTCCGGTCACGTGATGTGAGGTAGCTGCTGAAGCTGGCAGGGTGCGGGCAGGCCAGCTCGCCCCCCGTGACAGACCAGGGAGCGGGCACTGAGTGGCCGCTTCGGGGAGGGCCCGCCTCAGGGTGGCGCCCGGCCGGCCGCTTCTGCGTGGCTGCCCACAGCGCGTTCGGTCTGTCGCCGGGAGGACGTTTGCCGCAGAACCTTGACGTCCGTGTGCCCTCCGCCGGGTTCCAGTCAGTGCTGGTCCGGGACGGAGGAGTGAACAGGACGACGCAGCTGCCGGAAGGGACACGACCCCTTTCTGTTTCTCCCGGTTAAAGCACTCTCAGGCCCCGAAAGCAAAGCAGCTTTTAAACTGAGGCTCGTTTGATGGTCTGGGAGGGCCTGCTGTAGATACCTTGTCTCGGCTCTCACCTCGAGTACCTCAGGCCACCGCGTCACGGCCTGCTGCCTCTCAGCGGGGCAGCGGGAGACCTCGGGCCAGCGGGGGTCCCTCCGCTCCGCCGCGCTGTCTGAAGAGCCGATGGCCGGGAGGGTCCGCCTGCGGGGTTCTGGATTACGTGGACTGATTTGTTGTACAACACTCAACTTTTTTAAATGTTTCAGTTCCAAGAACCCAGAAGAAGCGGAACTGGAAGATACACTCAATCAAGTGGTAAGGCCTGATGGCTCCCGGTCTCCAGTCCCCGCCCGCTCGCCCCCCCCCCCCTGCTGCTTTAGGGCGTCACCCGGGGAGGCTGAAACGCTCTGACTCAATTTGTTGTTCACGTGTCGAAGCCGGGGCTTTACGCCCCGGGTTCGGGCCTTAATTCGGGCGTCCGTCTCCCCTCGCGCTCATGCGTGCCGAGTCCAGACCACCTTGGCCTGCTGTGGGCGGGTCTGTGAGGCCTGGGCCCGGGGTCTGCGCGTGGCGGGCGCCTGGCGCTGTGAGCTGCGGGCGCTGAGTGGCTCCCTCGGTGCCTCGCTAGATGGTCGTCTTCAAGTACATAGAGGACAAAGACGTGTTTCAGAAGTTCTACGCCAAGATGCTGGCCAAGAGGCTGGTGCACCAGAACAGCGCGAGCGACGACGCCGAGGCCAGCATGATCTCCAAGCTGAAGGTGGGTCGCCCGGCCCCCCGCGCCTGCGGCGTCTCGCCAGTGGACGGCGAGGAGCTGCCCGTCGGGGGGGCTGGCGGGCAGAGTGGGCTTAGCCTTGTGTCTGAGGCTGCCGCTCCCACCCTGCCCGCTATTGGGTGTGGCTGCCCTGGCCTGCGTCCGACCGGCCTGGGCGTGTCACCGGATCCCCCTGCCCCGCCTCCGCAGCGACACGGTGTCGCCCTCCGCGCCCCGGGGGCGCGTCCCGTCTGGGGCCGGACGCCCGGTCTCCTCCTGCCGGGAGGCCCACCCCGCTGAGCGCAGCTCTCCCCACACTGCGGCTGGGGCCCGGCAGAGGCCTCGGGGAGCCCAGAGGCGCCAGTCCCAGCACGGGTCAGGGCCCAGGTAGCCGCTGTGCGCTCCGGGCGCCCCTCGCAGCTGGCCGAGCGCTCGCGGCCTCCTGCCCCTGGGCCCCGCCGTGTGGCGCGGCGACCTCGCGGGCCGTGTGCCGCCTCCACGCGGGTGACGCGCAGCCCGGCCCCCTGCAGCAAGCCTGCGGCTTCGAGTACACCTCCAAGCTGCAGCGGATGTTCCAGGACATTGGTGTCAGCAAAGACCTGAACGAACAGTTCAAAAAGCACCTGACAAACTCGGAGCCCCTCGACTGTGAGTACCCCGCCTCCTCCTCGGCAGACGGGCGGCGCTGTCCTGCCTGCGGCCGCGGCCACCCCGCCGGGCCTCGCCAGCTGGGGCGCAGTTTTCCGCGTCCTGTGAGCCGCCCGTGGGGCCGCTCAGCCTTTTGATCGGCTTGAGGAGCTGCCTTGGCGGCTCACAGGCTGGGGCGTGGCGGGGCCCTGCTGGCTCCCCCGCACACCTGCTCGCCCCACGGAGGGGGCAGTATGTCCGGGTGATCAGGAGAACTCGGTTTTTTTAATAAAAAATGGGAAAGTTATTTTTGCACAGTCCCAGAACTTGAGCTTTAAGGAGACAGCTCTGTCTGGGCCGTGGCGGCTGTCAGTGACCGCGCGGTGCCTGCGTCTGTCGCCCGACCTGCACCCCGGTGTGGGGGGGGGGACCCCGGGCCTGGGAGCAGTGGCCTGGAGTGAACCGAGGTCATTCCCAGAAGAAAACTAAGGAAAATGAAGCAGAAGCGGCTGCTGGCGCCCTCGTCCTGAGTTAGACGTGAAGCGACACGCTCTAGAACCAAAGACTGTGGACTGGGCCCCTTTTTCTGTTTCTGGCTGGGTGACGTCATTGAGACCGAGGCATTGGCCGCTCGCTCTGGGTGGAGGTGGGGCTTGCCCGGTGTTCAAATCCAAAGCCGCGGCCTTTACCGCCAGGCCCTGAGTGTGTCCCATTTCCGCCCCGCAGTGGACTTCAGCATCCAGGTGCTGAGCTCAGGGTCCTGGCCCTTCCAGCAGTCCTGCACCTTCGCCCTGCCGTCCGAGGTGAGCCTGACTGCCCCTGTGCTGACGGGGCGGGCTCCACGCTGCCGCCAGCAGCCGCGTCCGCGGCCCCGCTTGCTCGCCCGGGTGGAGCCTCGCCGGCCGGTGCGGGCAGCCCACCCTTCCCGCGGGTGGGGTGAGCGGCCTTGGGGCGGCGGCGTAGCTGCGCCCCACTCGTGTGCTTCCGCCAGCTGGAGCGCAGTTACCAGCGGTTCACGGCCTTCTACGCCAGTCGGCACAGCGGCAGGAAGCTGACGTGGCTGTATCAGCTGTCTAAGGGCGAGCTGGTGACCAACTGCTTCAAGAACAGATACACCCTGCAGGTGAGACCCCGGGCTCGGCCTTTAGTTCTGCCGGAGGCACGTGGCAGTGTGAGGCCCGCCGGGGTGGGGGCGCCGGGCTGGGGGTGGTGAGGTGCGGGGCCCCGTGGCGTGCACCCTCAGCCGCCGGCTCGGCCACGTCGGGGCCTCCGCCCTCGGTGCAGAAACAAGCGCGCAGCCGGCAGCCCTGCTGGGAGTGGGGGGGGCGGCGGGTGTGCGCGGGGCGGGAGGGCGGCTGCTGGCGTGTCAGCGCATGTGACTCACCCCTCTTTCTTTCACGTGGGGACCCCGAAGGCGTCCACCTTCCAGATGGCCATCCTGCTGCAGTACAACACGGAGGACGCGTACGCGGTGCAGCAGCTGACCGACAGCACCCAGATCAAAATGGTAGCTGGGGGGCGGGGGCGCG